CTCCTCTTTTTCTTCTTCTATCTACAAATAAACCAAAAGTAAAGCTAACAAAATAAGGCTGTGTTCCTCTTGTTGACACGGTTGCAACTGTTTAAGATTGGGTCTGTTAGCATGTACATTTTCAGTTTTTAATTAAAATGCCACAAATTAATATGTTTATTTTTTCAAAACTAAGTATGTTAGTAGGGAAAAATATCCAGTACACGCTTCCCCATCCCCACCCCCCAACAAGAAAACAGGTGGGTTGGAGGCAATAAATGCTATTTTCCTAATATATGGCTCCAGTGACACCTGCTTTAGTAATAAAAAGATAATCAAATCACCATTCAAGTGTCTAAGGCAAATTTAGTCTGAAAAACAGAGAAATAATTTATTGTTTAAAACCACTACTCTTTACTTTTTTTATTTTTAAAGAAGATTTTGTTTATTTATTTGATAGAGGGATAGAGAGCACAAGCAGGAGGAGCGGCAGGCAGAGGGAGAGAGGAGACACAGGCTCTTCACTGAGCAGGGAGCCCGATACGGGACTCGATCCCAGGACCCCGGGATCATGACCCGAGCCAAAGGCAGACACTTAACCAACTGAGCCACCCAGGCACCCCCAGTAGTCTTTAAATTATTAAAAATGTGTTAAGATTAAACTAATGTAACATTGTGTATTAACTACACTCAAATAAAAAATTAATTAAAAATATGGTAAGATTTAGACTCCTGGGCAGTTCAGTTACTTAGGTGATAGACTCTTGCTTTCAGCTCAGGTCATGATCTCAGGGCTGTGAGATAGGACTCCACACTCAGCAGGGAATCTGCCTGAGATTCTCTCCCTCTCCCTCCACCTCTGCCCCCAACCCCCAGCTCCTGCACGCCTGTGGGCACACTCTCTCTCAAACAAATAAATCTTTAACAAAAAATGTCATAAGATTATATCAAAGAATAAGAGAGGACTTTCAAGTAACAAATTATACATTCAAAGGTATGGTCAGTATTTTTTAATAAAATTTTTGATTTAAAGATAAAAAATTTAAAATGATACTAAAAAGGACTTAAGATCAATAAATACAACTTTCTACCACTTGTGAGTACGCCAAAAGCTGGCATTAAATACAACATAATAAATGCTGGGTCTGTTTATAAGAATCAATTATGCAACACCCTTAAGCAAACTGTTCTTTAACTAGACTTTTAAAAACTTGGGTTGCTCCAGGAGTAATATGTTTTTAAGAGTGGAATATGAGCAAAAATCTGGTCTAAGTTGTTAAGTACATGATTTCTGGGTATAAAAACGTACTTAAGGGACTTGTTTTGTTTTGTTTTTTTAAATAAACTTTATTTTTGTAACAGTTTCAATTTAGAGAAAAAATGGGAGGATAGTACAGAATCCCCAGATTGACTCCACAGCTGGTGTTACACGTTAATAACATGTTACTTTAGTATGGTACATTTGCTACAATTAAGAAACTAATATGGGGGCCCCTGGGTGGCTCAGTGGGTTAAAGCCTCTGCCTTCGGCTCGGGTCATGATCCCAGGGTCCTGGGATCGAGCCCCGCATCGGGCTCCCTGCTCAGTGGGGAGCCTGCTTCCTCCTCTCTCTCTCTGCCTGCCTCTCTGCCTACTTGTGATCTCTGTCTGTCAAATAAATAAACAAAAAAAAAAATTAAAAAAAAAAAAACTAATATGGATATATAAGTATTAACTAAAATCCATATTTTATTCAAATTCCCTTAATTTTCACATAATATGCTTTTTTTGTTGCAGGATCTTATTCAGGATACCATATTACATTTAGGAGCCCTTAGGCTCCTTTTGGCTACGGTTTCTCAGATTTTCCTTGTTTTTGATGACCTTGACAGTTTCAGGGAATACTGGTCAAGTATTTTGTAGAATGTCCCTCTACTGCGATTTCTCTAGCGTCTTTCTCATGATTAGACTGGAGTCATGGATTTTGGGGAGGAAGATCAAGTAGGTAAAGTGCCATTTTCATCACAGCATATCTTTTGGAACAAACTACCAGTATGACTTATCACTACTGACCTGGCTAAGGTAGTGTTTACCAGATTTCTCCACTGTGAAGTTACTCCTCCCAATCTCCTTTCATTAGTGTATTCTTTAAAAGGAAGTCACCATGCACAGAGCCCACACTCGAAGAGTGGGGTTCCGCTCTACCTTGCTGAAGATGGACTATCAACATCAATTATTTGGAGTTCTTTTGCACAAGAGATTTGTCTCTTCACCATTTATTTATTCAACAACTTATTTATACCATATGGAGCCATAGGTATTTATTTTACACTTTGGGTTATGATCCAATACTACATTACACTTATTTTCTTGCTCAAAATTTTCCACCTTTGACCACTGGGACTTCTTTCAGTTGGCTCCTATGTCCCTTTGACATAATCCCATCATTGTTGAGTTTGTTTAAGCACTTTCTTACTTTTTGGTACTACAAGATGCTCTAGGCTGATCTTATATATTCCTTGCCCTAGTCCTCGAATCAGTCTTTTCTCCAAGGAGCCCTGGTTTCTTTTCATAGAGAACTGTATTAGAAACCAAGATCTGAACCAGGTTTGCTCTTGCCACTGGGAATTCACTGCTTCCGGGAGGGCCTGTTTTTAACTGAATTTTATGTTATTTTGGGGTAACTTGCATAACAAGATATAGAAATACATTCATGCACAGACTGTACTAGACCTATGGAGTTTTAAAATTAGTTAATGCAATTACAGATGTATTTATCATCATTTTACAGATTTTGAAAATAAGCTGAAAACCATAAAGGAGACTGATTTATATATATATATATATATATATATATATATAAAATTGGGACATGTCCTTTTATTTTGAAAAAGGAAAGGGGGACAAATTCATAATGTCAGAAATACAAATGATATGTCATTATGATTTCTGTAGGTCAGCAAGCAGTTCAGCAACTTTTTGGTCTCAGGATCCCTTTATACTTCTAAAAATTATTTGAGAAATTTTTCAAAGAGCTTTTAACTGGATTATCTCTTGGTACTTACCAAATTAGAAGTTAAATGTGAGAAATGTTTAAAATATTAATTAATTTATTTAAAAGGATACACTTATGAGGTGTTAACATAAATTACATCTGTATGAAAAAAACTGTTTAAAAAAACTTATTTTCCAAAAAACTTGGTAAGTGAAATATTTTTGCAAATATCTGTAATTTCTGGCCTTATAGAGGACAGCTAGTTTCTTAAGACTGATTCTGCAATATGCTGTTTTGGTTAAAGTATATAAGCATATGAAGAAAATCTAGCCTCACAACAGATATACAGTTGGGGAAGAGAATATTTTAATCATTATTTTAAATAACTGTTGATATTCTTGAAACCATAACAGAACTCAACAAATAGTAGTTTCCTGAAGGCTAATTACACTCTGGATTCTAAAACCCTAGCCATGAACTTCTCATGTTCTATTACATTAAAATCCATTGATTTATCTTGCACTTTGAATGGATCTTTGACCCTTATGTGATTTAGTATCATTACACATTGGCCACCTGGAAAATATTGATTCAATGAGCTATGCAGGTGTTCCAAATTGACACAATTCAGAATACAATACGAAGAAAAGAAAATGCCATTCTTTAATATCAATATCCACTTCACAAGAAAAGCCTTTAAGTATCTGGGAAGCTGTCAAGCTCACAGTATTAGGTACAAGTTTTCCAAAATTCTAAATTTTACTTGAAAATTTTATTTTAAGATTGGCTACAAATACAGCTGTTTTTCTTTTTTTTTTTTTTTTTTTTTTTAAAGATTTTATTTATTTGACAGAGAGAAATCACAAGTAGGCAGAGAGGCAGGCAGAGAGAGAGGAGGAAGCAGGCTCCCAGCGGAGCAGAGAGCCCGATGCGGGGCTCGATCCCAGGACCCTGAGATCATGACCCGAGCCGAAGGCAGAGGCTTTAACCCACTGAGCCACCCAGGCGCCCCACAGCTGTTTTTCTTGAAGTGTTAGGCCCACTTAGTTCATTTTTGGAAAAACAAATCTCAAATACATTAGTTCAAATAACCGAAAACTTTCACTTTTTCTTTGGGGAAAAAGAAAGGAGGTTTTACAGAAAAAAGCAACTAGTTTAGCTCACACCTTGGTTGAGCATGCACTTTTTCTGAAGATGACTATCATGCTTTAGTACACAGCACGAGTACTCAAAGTCGAGATCTAATGAAATTAATATTTTTGGTGGTTCAGTCCATTAAGCGTCTGCCTTCGGCTCAGGTCATGATCCTGGGGTCCTGGGATCGAGCCTGCATCGGGCTCCCTGCTCAGTGGGGACTCTGCTTCTCCCTCTATCCTTCCCCTATGCTTGTGGTCTCTCTCTCTCTCAAATAAATAAATAAAATCTTTTAAAAAAGAAATCAGTATTTTTATTGCTTCATCAAGAACATTCTTTTTGGGCGCCTGGATGGCTCAGTTGGTTAAGCAGCTGCCTTCGGCTCAGGTCATGATCCTGGAGTCCCAGGATCGAGTCCCACATCAGGCTTCCTGCTCGGCAGGGAGCTGGTTTCTCCCTCTAATCTGTCCCCTCTCATGCTCGCATTCTCTCTCTATCTCAAATAAATAAATAAATAAATAAAATCTTTAAAAAAAAAAAAAAAAGAACATTTTTTTTTAAGGGGAGGAGGGGCAGTGGGAAAGGCTAAGCAGGGAGCCCAATGCAGGGTTCAATCCCAGGACCCTGGGATTGTGAACTGAGCTGAAGGCAGACACTTAACCAACTGAGCCACTCAGGCACCCCACATCAAGGTCATTCTTAAATAAAACTAGATTTTTTTTTATTTCTTTATTTTTTAAACTGGATTTTAAAAAAAAAGAAACTATGAATGTATGACAAAGAAAAAACATTAATAATTGGTTTGGTGCCACCGCCTTAATCTGTGTTCAGGTGTTAGCAGTTTTACTCACCATTGCTTTTAGAGCAGCATTGCAAATGTCAACACAGTGGAAAATTATGAAGATAGTTTTGACTTTCCAGATCATCTGATATCAGGGACCCACATAGGTCCCCAGTACAGTCCGAACACTGCTCAAAATTAGATAGTCAAGGGATAAGATAATATTACAATAATATCATACCAAAAAATGAGAGATTTTAGGTGAAAGATAAATTCCTAGAAAAAAATTAACTTGCCTAATCTAATTCAAAAGGAAGCAAAAATATGAATAGTCTTAAAAATCTTAAAATATTCCATTAGGAATCAAAAAATCCTCCCATAAAGAAATTCTAGGCCTAGATGGCATCACAGATGAATTCTGTCAAACATGCAATTAAGAAATAATTTTACATAATATATGACAGAAAATAAAGATACCCTCTCTGAATCATCTTGAGACTTGTATAACCTTGATACCACGCACAGCACAATAAAAGAATATTAGAGGCTGATGTCCTTCATGAATATTGGTGCAAAAATTCCTAACATACTAGCATAGCAAACAATGTCAAAGGTTGGTTTAATATTAGAAAAACCAAAATAATTCTTCATGTTAATAAACAAAAGAAGAAAAAAAATCAATATTAATAGTTTCAGAGAAGATAAAACTTTTTCAGAGATTTCTCTCAACAGAAAAGTGAAGCTTTAAGGCTGTTTCTGGGAGATCCAAGTAGCCAAAAAGGACTAGCTTCCTGGCCTCAAGAAAAAATGAAGCCACAGTACTCCCAGAAAGGGGAAACCGCTGCAACAGTAAGGTGCTACCAGTATCATTTTTTCCAAAAGAAAAAAAACTAGGGTCAAAATCCTAACCAAGTTTTTTTTGTTTGTTTCTTATTAAATGTGGTCATGCTTGGTGTGCCCTCACACATCTGTTCCAACAGTCTAACAAATTTCTTGTAACAGTCAATTTGGAAGACAAAGATGGACTATAATGCTGTCCCCAACTTTCTACGAATCATCTGTACTAAAGGAGAAATGAATGGTACAACTGTTCTTTCACTATTACTCAGAATACCTGGGTATACTTACCTTTTTCCTTTTCTTGTTGCTACTCACATAAGGGCTCCCCATATAAAGGAAGCAATACTGTTCCCACTGCCACAGATATTAAGCAAGTTCAGTAAAAACCATCTTGTCCAATTTAAAACAGAACTTAAGTTGGCTAAATCAGAAAACTAAGTGTAGGTGTAGGTGTGTGTACCTTAAACATTTTATTTTAGCTTACACATAAAAAAAAAAAAAAAAGGAAAGAATTATCCAAACTTAAAAGTTAGGAGCTTTCGGGGCGCCTGGGTGGCTCAGTGGGTTAGCCTCTGCCTTCGGCTCAGGTCATGATCTCAGGGTCCTGGGATCGAGCCCCATATCGGGCTCTCTGCTCAGCAGGGAGCCTGCTTCCTCCTCTCTCTCTGCCTGCCTGTCTGCCTACTTGTGATCTCTATCTGTCAAATGAATAAATAAAATCTTTAAAAAAAAAAAAAAAAAAGAATTATTCTCATGATGCATGGAAGGACCAAACATCCCCACCCTAATTTAAACCTACAGATGCTTCCCCATGACTTCTGCCAAAGTCCACATAAGAAGCTGAGTACTCAAGTTCTGAAGAAAAACTGTCCCTGATGGGGAAAAAAAATGTTACAGAAGGAGAAAATAAAGAAAATAATGGACATTACTCAGAGATATAATGGTCAAGAATTTAACATAATTATTCAAAGATGTCCTCAGATCCAGGAAGCCCAAAGAATCTCAAGTAGAATTACAAATAATAAAATAAAAAATAAAGTTAAAAAAAATTCAATACATTCTATAAAACTAGGAACACTAAAGGAGGTGAAAAAGCTTAAAAAACAGTCAAATAACAGATTATTTTCAAAGGGAGGGCAATTTTACTTCTCAACAGCAACAGTGGCAGTCAAAACATCAAAATAATGTCTTCAATGTGATGAGAAAACTTAGAATTCAATACACAGTGAAATTATCTTTCAAGAATGCAGATGAAACAAACACATCTTCAGTTTAAAAAAAAAAACCACATACACTGTCATCCACCTTCACCAAAAGACTTTCATTAAAACAAATTCTGAAGAATGTACTTCAGGTAGAAAAAAAAAGTTTCATATGGAAGGTCTCAGATAATGCACCAAGGAAACAGTAATAAAATAATAATGTTTAAAAAAATTTTTTTAAAGATTTTATTTATTCATTTGACAGAGAGAGAGATCACAAGCAGGCAGAGAGGCAGACAGAGAGAGAGGAAGGGAAGCAGGCTCCTACCGAGCAGAGAGCCCAATGCGGGGCTCGATCCCAGGACCCTGGGATCATGACCTGAGATGAAGGCAGAGGTTTTAACCCACTAAGCCACCCAGGCGCCCCATAAAATTTTTTTATATATGCAAGAGATAAATATATTAAAACTCAAATAATAGACAATAGTGTTATAGATTTCTGGAAGGAAAACAATCAGAGCATTTTAAGTTATTACATTATTCAAGAATAGATTAAAGATACTGATTTAAACTCTTCCTTTTAGAAAGGACTTCTTTAAAAAGCTAGAGCAACCATTGAAAAAATAAATAACATTAATTTACAAACAAGAGTACATGTGTGCAAGGTGTTAGGGGGACTGAAATGAGAAAACATGCCTATATGAAGGCTTCAAACACATTAACTCCAAACAAAACACTGGAAGAACAGGAAGGAAGGCGAGGAGGAAAAACAGACCACAAGACAGAAATCAATCTAAATCTACCAGTATCACAACTGACTAAAATTCCAGTAAAAAATATTGTCATTCAGAACAAAACACAATTTAACCATACCCTGTTTATAAGACACAAACTAAAATACAGGACCAATGAAAAGCTAAAGGATGAAAAATACTATTAACCAAAAGCAAGCTAAAACAGATATATTAACCCAAGAAAACAGCCAACCACAAAAAACAAAACTATAAGGCAAAATAGTTTTGAATATGGCCTTTCAATCCAAAAAAAAGTTCGACTTAAAAGGAAAAAAATTGAAACGTAAGTACTTAATAGCACAGAATCAAAATACATAAAACAAAAATTACCACATCTAGAGGAGAAACTGCCAAACCTACCACCATGTGAGAGGCATTAATACGCCTTTCTCAGCACAGAAACTGATAAGTCCCAAAATCAAACCAAACCCAAAGCCAAACAACACCTACGCAAACCATGAAAGATGTAAGTAGAACAGCTAACAAGCTCACGAACATATATGAAGAACTACACTAAACAACTGATTTTACATTCTTTCCAAATGCATATAAACATTCATGAAAACTAGCCATATACCAGGTCTTAAAGTTAGTCTCTACAAATTAGATTATGGTCTGTGACCATGAAGAAATCAACTTGGAACACTATCACAGAAATTATATTTACAAGCTAAATATGTTGAAATTAAATATATGCTTTTGTAATAATTCCTGAGGCAAATAAGTATTTTTTTTAATGGAAAAACACAAAAATACTATATATCAAAACTTGTAGAAAGGCAGCTCAAATGATACTTAGAGGCAAATTTAAGCACTAAACACCCAAATTCAAAAGTCTTTGTAAAAGGACAGAAAAAAACCAAAAACCTAAAAGTTCTAAGAAAGAAGAAAGAAATAATAGCAGGCCCTAAAAGAACAGAAAATATTTAAAACAAGATGATAAACTAGAAGTTCATTCTCTGAAAGAGTAATTAAAATTATAAACCTCTGGAAAAACTAATTGGGAAAAAGATAACACAAACTAATACAAAGGAAAAGGAAACTTTACAGATGTTATAGGGATTAAGCTGATCAGAGGATACTGTGGACAATTTAATGATAATAAATTTGAAAGTTTGGAAAGATTTTTGAAAAGTTTTTAGAAAAATACAATCTATTAAAAATGCATCAAAAAGATTTAGAACTCACACTTTCCAATTTCAAAACTTACATTAAAGCTACTGTCATCAAGCATCAAATCACCAAGTGTGGTACAGGCTAGAAGAGAAATATAGATCAAATGAAACAAAACTGAGAATCTAGAAATAAATGCATACATTTATAGTCAACTGATTTTCAAAAGAGGAGCCTAGATAATTTGATATAGAAAGAATAGTCTCTTCAACACATGGTACCGGGACCTCTGGATTTCTAATTGCAAAATAATAAATTGGGACCTCCACCTTATACTATATATAAAAATTAACTCAAAATGGATCTAAAACCTAAATGTAGGAGCTAAAACATAAAACTTTTCAGCACACAAATCTTCATTCAAGTTTCTTTGATACCAAAATCACAAACAACAAAAGAAAAAAAAGATAAACTGAACTTCATCAAAATAAAAAACTTTTGCGCTTTAAAGGACACAATGAGATAAAATGAAAAGACAAAAGAGCTAGAGAAAATATCCCGAATATATAGAGAACTCTTACAATTCAACAATAAAAAGACAATTCAATTTTTAACAGATTTTTAAAAAAGATTTTATTTATTTATTTGACAAAGAGAGCACAAGTAGGCAGAGCAGCAGGCAGAGGGAGAGGGAGAAGCAGACTCTCCGCCAAGCAGGGAGCCTGATGTGGGGTGGGGGTGGGGGGCTTGATTCCAGGACCCTGGGATCATGACCTGAGCCAATGGCAGCCACTTAACCAACAGAGCCACCCAAATGCCCCAATTTTTTTTTCAAATATTTTATTTATTTATTTGACAGAGAGACAGAGAGTACCAGAAGGCAGAGGGAGAGGGAGAAGCAGGCTCCCAGCCAAGCAGAGAGCCCAACATTGGGCTTGATCCCAGGACCCTTAGACCACGACCTGAGCCGAAGGCAGATGCTTAACCGACTGAGCCACCCAGGTACCCCAAGACAACTCAATTTTAAAATGGACAAAAGCTCTAAATATACATTTTTCCAAGGAAGTTATACAAAGGCCAATAAGCACAGGAAAAAATGCTCAACATCGCTTGTCATTAGGAAAATGTACATCAAAACCACAGATTCCACTTCACACCCCCTAGGATGGCTATCATCAAAAAGACAGACAACAGGGACGCCTGGGTGGCTCAGTTGGTTAAGCAGCTGCCTTCGGCTCA